GGGTCAAAAAAGAATGCACTTTTCTCATTATGTTATTATGGGCATCCATGACAAATCCAAATAAAAGGGATATACATCTTGATATACATCTTCCCCAGAAGAACTATGAAACAGTACTAAATATGGAAATCCTTCAGCATGTATCAACATCCTTTCCCCAAAACAACATAGCTTCAGAAAGATCTAATGACTGCACTGTTACCTGACTTTGGTGGCATATTTAATTTGACAAATTACATATAGGCATTTCAAATGGTGCCATCTTTTAGAAGAGCTAGAAATTATCATCTCCAAGGAAAAGGCTACCTACAGTACATGTATATAAAAGTTGTACTGCTAAACAGTGAAACATCTTCTCTAAATACATAATTCAGAAATCTTTTAATTTGAAACTTACCAATTAAAAATCTGATTGTCCACAGAAAAGATGTACATATTTGTTCAGTTTGCTTCAAATTATTCAGAAAGAGAAATGAAGGGGGAGGAAAGCAGGCAAACTAAAAATAATCAGACATTGCCTACTTTACACTACTTTCATTAAGTACTGAAAAGTTCTGGGGCCAATCTTCCCAAACTGCATAACATTTTATACACTGCTTGAAAAATTAAAGGGAACACAAAAATAAGACATCCTAGATCTGAATGAATGAAATATTCTTATGAAATACTTTGTTCATTACATAGTTGAATGTGCTGGCAACAAAATCACACAAAAAGTATCAATGGAAATCAAATNAAAAAATCTGACATTCTACCCTTTCTCCATAATTTGTAATAATCAAACTTTATTTCCTAGAAGATATTATTATATAGGAACACTATACTACGTGCTGAGCACTAACAAGACTGAAATATTAGATGACTTTAAGAGCACCAAGATTTGCCAAAATAACTTTTAAAATTCTTTTAACTCCATGGCGTGTGCAGTATGAATGGAACAAGTCTTATAAATATGAGTATCACTATAAAAGAAATATACAAAACAAGAGATGACTGTTAACCTGAACAAAAATCTTAGAAAAACTAGGATTTTCTATAAGTATGCTATAATATTTTGTACAAGTCTTACTAATATGTTATTATGCATTCCTATTTTATTGGATAAATATTCAGTTTTCTAAAAAATATTTCTTTATAGTTCAGTTCTGAATTTTCCAAAACACAAATTGACAGGAACATCTAAAAGAATTTCAGACAGATTTTGCAAAGCCACAATTTTTACCTGCTATTCTTATATTAGCAAAAGTGTTATAATGAATCTATGGCATAATGTTTCACTTATTCATGTATGTATCATTGAACAAGCAGAAAAGCTTCCTGGTCTTATATCATTCACATTTAATGTTAAAAATCATGATGGCCTTATTATCAATATATTTATTTTTTGCAGTTTAACCTCACTGCTTGGATTACAAGTAATCCTTGTTTAGCAACCATGATTGGGATCAGCATTTTTTGGTTAAATGAAGCGGTTCCTAAATGAAACCACGACTATGATTTTCTTTGATTTACAGATCTACAAGGATGTAAATGCAAGGATTGATTGTCATTAAACAGTCACTAAATAGGGACAATCTTAATTTTTCTCTCAAAATTCTTTACTATCAAAGGTAGACTGCTCCAAGTATGGAAAGGATTCATTTGCCATATTTAACACCTAACTCTTTAACAAAACTAGAAAAGCAACTTCAAATACAAGTTAAAACCAGCATCTCATAATAAGTGAGCTGCAAATTCAATGTACCTATATTAAGCACCTTTGAATGTTTTCAGATGGATGCATGATGATCCCAAAACAAACTACAAAGAAAGGACTGGCAATATTAAAATAAATCCTCCATTACCTGTTTTACTCATTCCTATTAATAATATGCCAATGCATTGGACAATCTCCATCCTTCACCTCAAAATTTATATATTTCAAAACTGAATTTCTACCATTTCTAAAGTTATTTAGTATATAGATGGTCTCTGGCTTATAATTGTAATGGAGCTTGTTTATTATTTTGTAAGTTCTGATGGTCATAAAACCAACAATCCAATCTTATAACTTTTGCATCAACTGTTAAGCAAACCAATGGTTCACTATGGGCAGTTTTGCCAAATACTGGAAGTAAATGCCAATTTTTGGCAAAAGCCATTATAAAGTGTGGCCACATGACTATGAGCATTGACAACTACTGCAAATGCAGGCCAGTTGCTGAACACCCAACATGCGGTGCCATGACTGGAGATAGCCATCAGAACTGGGCTGTAAATACCCCCAGAGAGATTTCGATAACTTCAAAGGGTCGCTAAGTAAAGGACTAACTGCATGTAAAATATAACATACTTAGCATGTAAAATGAAAGAACTGAAAACATTTTAACATTGCAGTAGTTGCATACCAGGCTACTTTAGCAAACCTATCAAGAAACTGAGTAAATACAGACCAAAATATTTTCCTGATAATGGGCTTGGCTTGCAGGTGGCAAACTCAAACAATTAATTTTTGTTACCACAAAGTTGTTACAACAAAAACTTTATTTAAGTTTAAGTTCCTTCCATGGATTCTAATGAAACCTACGATTGAATATCACACAAATAGTTTTTCAAAAGGCAACCGGACTTTTTAAATGAAGTCTGGTTGTCTTTTGGAACAACCATGAGCTGGATGACTGAGAATCTCCATAGATCTCTACGACTGAGTAATACAGTAGTCCTTGACTTACAACAGTTCTTTTAGTGACCATTCAAAGTTACAACAGCACTAAAAAAGTAACTTTTGACAATTTTTCACACTTATGACCGTTGCAGCCAGTGATGGGTTCCGGATCCTGTTCCAACCGGTACAGTTGCAACGGGCCCGGCATTGTCCACATGGACTCGTGCAGCGCGCACATGGGTCCTACTGTTCAGTGACGCTTCCGCAAGCCTCCAGCTGCTCAGCGGAGCGTTGTGCAAGTGCTGTACCGCCATGCGCATGTGCGAAAGCGCTAAAGACTTTAAAAACAGGTAAGGAGCAAGGCCAGACGGGTGAGCCCTCCAGAGCACCGTACCGGAACGGTATCCAGTGCTCCGGGCAGGCTCTGGTACACTCGTACCAGGGCATACCGCCTGCAACCCACCACTGGTTGCAACATCCCCATGGTCACATGATTTACATTCAGATGCATGACAACTGGTTCATATTTATGACAGTTGCTATGTCCTGGGGTCACATGATCCCCTTTTGTGACCTTCTGACAAGCAGTCAATGGGGAAATTTTATTAACTTAACCGTATTATTAACTTAACAACTGCAGAGATTCATTTAACAAATGTGGCAAGAAAGGTCGCAAAATGGGACAAAACACAAGAAATTTCTCAACCAAAGTTTTGGGCTCAATTGTGGTTGTAAGTCGAGGACTACCTTTAGTTTATGTCACTCTTAACATTTTTAACTGCCTTGTCGCTGAAGATTAAATATTAAAAAAACTTATAGATCTAATGAAAATTACCAAATCACTACATAAGTCTCATCAGATATATTTCGAGTCAAAAGTACTTGCCTAAAACCATAATCCTAAATTTCAACTTGAATTAAATACTATTATTTAACTAATTAATTTGTATTGCACCTGCTATTTTTTGAAATAATTCAAGACAGTGAACATATCCAACATATCCATATTCTTCCTATTTTCTCCACAACAACCACCCTGTGATGTGGTATGGGATGAAAGAGTGACATGTATAGCCACAGGAATCAATTTAGAAAAGGAAATAGTATGTGCTGAGAAAAACTGTCCTTTCTCCTGCTGTCATTTAAGTTTAATGTAATAAGTTTAATGTAATGGTACTGTAATAAATTAACCATTTGAATACCATTTGTTCATGTCATTTGACGAATGGTATTCAAATGCATCATTAACAAAATCAACTGCATTTTAGCAGGAAGGAATTTGACAACAAACGCTACAATCCAGTTTAACTGATTCATCATTACACGGTACTGCAATGCAAAGAAATACTTTTAGATTCCGGGGTGATTCACTTTTCCACACTTCTCCCATTATTCCAACAATGCTTTTCTGTAGGTTTACTCGGAAGTAAGGTCCATTAAGTTCAGTGGAATAAAATGCCAAGGAAGCGATGTAAAATTACAACCTATGGACATAAATCACGATCCGATCGATATTCCGACCGCATACATTAATCGCTGAATCCCCTCGATCCGAGCGAGGTTGGGACTGCCGGGAGCTTGCGCGGATTTAGAACAATACATTTGGCTCCTTTTTCTTTTCTTCTCTCCGGCGTCTTTATCAAACCTCTCCCTCCATCACTCGCCCGTGCATCAAAACCCGCCCGCCGACTACAAGGGACTTCCCTAGCAGCATTATTTTCGGAGAAAGGCGCCATTTTAAGAGCTGGTGGGAGGAAGAGGAGGAGGAGCGGGCGATGCGACAGGGGGCGCAGGACCGGCGGGGGAAGCGATCCGCTGAGCCACCCCGGCGACCCCGCGGGTAAAAGGAAAAAAGGGGGGGGGGAAATACCTCGGGGGTGCCTGTCGGGGCTTGCACAGTGGGCAGCCTGGCAAGACCCTCTCCCCGTCTCCTACACTGCACCTGACCCTGGGACACACCCCGCTCTGCCTTCTCTGGGCAGATGTACTCCTCCGCTTCCACCTTCGCCGCCGCTTCTTCTTCTTTCATCCCGCGGGGACGGCGCCCCTTGCGGTGGCTCCCGAGTCCGCGCTCGTCCCGGAGCCCTCCTGGCCCGCACCCGCTTCCTCATCTCGGCCGAGCCTTCCCTGATCAATGCCCAGCCGCGATCCCACCCGAGAGCCCTTCCGGATATTGCTGGATGGAGCCCGGTGCTTTTCCACCGAGATTCCTTTCCAGGAATTGTCGGGCGGGCCTTTTCGCTTCTCCACCCCCCCCTCCCCCGGTGTATTTCTTCTCCTCCTCCCCACAACCCCGGCTGGGTCTGGGTCTCCCCCCACCCTCCGCGCTCAGCTTCCCCCGCCATTGGCTGCCCACCTTCTCGCACAGGCTCTTGACTTGCCCTTCCGAGAGCTGTTTGCATTCGTTCAGCTGCTCGACCCACTGGTCGAGCTCCTTCGTGAAGACCTTCTCTTCCATCGTCTCTGCCGCCGCCGCCGCCGCTGCTGCTTCCTGCCTGCCTTCTTCGCTCCCTCGCCGGCACCCACCGCCACCCCTGCCCCACCTCCGCCCACCCTTCTTCTCCCTCCCCCTCGCGGAGATTAGGGGAGGCTGCTACGCGTCGGGAAGGAGTGAGGGCGGACGGAGGAGGAGGAAGGAGAGAGACATGCACAGCGGAATCTCTCCCTCCAAAGGCGACGGGAAGCAGCGGCAGCGGCTGCTTTCTCACGCTCGCTGATCCGGTCCGCTCTCCGTGTAATGGCTGCCGCGCCTTGACGTCACCCCCACATTTCCCACCCTCCTTAGACCAGCTCAGACGGCGCACATGCGTCCTTATAGTCGAATGGGTGGTTCTGCCCTAAGCGCCCCACAGTACGCCTCTTCGAGCATGCGCGGCGGTGTTTCAATGAGTTTCAATGAGACTCGAGAATGGGGTAAGATTCCAGGGAGTGTATTGGGAGGGCGGGGGGAGAGGAAGCGTCCTGATCGCGCGCAGAGAAACTTTTCTTTCAAATCAGTTGAATAAATAAATAAATGGAATCACAGTTTAGGAATAGAAAGGTAAGACGCATTCTAAATCTTGCAGAAAGTTTGAATCAACTTTGGAGGAAAATGCTTTGCCAGGTTCCTCTTCTCTGTCGCTCCCATATCTGAACTCCAAAAATCTGGATGACTCGTCCCCAGCGATTTTATTTTTGTGCCATTCCATAGAGACTAAAGGCAGGAGACATTGAAACTGAAGCGCAAAAAGTCTGCAGTTTGGCGGACGGCGTCAGGTTGAAGAGAAAAACCTCGCAAACCCATTTCCCCGATGGGTTGTCAACGTAATAAAAATTATACCCAAGACACACATACAACATGGAAATTGATGGTAGCCAGTGCCCTCCAAAGATCAGGTACGATGTGTTCAGTTGATAAAAAAACATTGGGTAATTCTTCAGTAGTTTCAAATACTGTGTAAATAACTAAGATGACCCTTCCTTACGATTTTGACGAATTTATCTTGTCTTTTTATGTACACTGAGAGCATATGCACTGAAGACAAATTCTTTGTGTGTCCAATCACACTTGGCCAATAAAGAATTCTATTCTATTCCTATAAAGCGAGGCTCTCAAAGTCTACTGGATTATAGCTCCTATAATCATCCTGCAATACCATCTTTTGACATTCCCAGTCACCATGGAATGAACATTATGATTCAGCATTCTGAAGCTTTTGGGAAGAGGTTTAGATCCAAATGTAACCAAAGTAATCAATATTTTACCACTCTTTGTTTTAAATAAACGTACGGGTATGCAGGTGCTCCCCTTTCTAAACTTCCACTCTGTAGCAATGTTTTTGGAGAATTGTGGGGAAGAAATGGGGTGGTGCTAAATAATTTGATAATTATTAAATGTGCATGCTGCCCAACTCCCAGCGATTTAGGGTGGTATATAATTGGTAAAACTTAAAATAAAGAATAACACAAGAATCACAAAAGCAATACAAGATAAAAGACAAAGATGGCAGAGAAAACAAAGTGAGGGGAACGAGGGAAAGAAGGCAGGGAGAGGGAGGGAGAGAGAGACAGACAGACAGACAGACAGACAGACAGACATTAGTCCTTTCCAGAGCCAGGTCTTTAAGGCCCTTCAAAATACCAGTAGATGGGAGCCATTTGAATTTCATGGGAGAATCTCATTTCAGAGAGCAAGTGCTTCTATAGAGAAAGCGAGCTTCCAGGGTTCTGACATATGGCATTATTTAATTGATGAAATCCAGATTGCAATAACTCTCCCACATTGAACTGGCCAGGCAGAACTTGCATTAATTGATGTAAACTAATTTACTTTATCCAATAACATATTTTTATTAGAATTACTGGAACTTTTTGCTGGAGATCCACCTTGGTGTAGTGGTTAAGGCCTGGAGATAGTGAGGTTTAATCCCATTTTAGGCATGAAGCTAGTTGGGAATCTTGGTTCATTCTCTCAGCCCAACCCACACCCCAGGATGGTTGTGGGGGAAATAGAAGGTGAGAATATTATGCTGCCTTGTATGAAATAGTGGCAGATATAAATCTAATAATTTTTAAAAATAAATGTATTTTATTAGTATAAATTTAACCAGTTGCATTTGTCCCATTTACCTTTGCTGCACATACTTTTAAGAGACTTCACTTAGAGATTTGATTTACATTCCTTATTTATGATTAGAAAAGCAGCATCCAATCAGGACTGTCCTGCAAGGGAGTAGAACCAGTTTTGTCTAACCTCCACCCTAACGAGGATTAAACAGAAAGTGATAAAAATAGAGTTGGCATGCTGGTAAGGTATGCCACTTTTTCTCAACTTTCCCATACAGATTCATTTATTTATTAATGTTCTAGTATTATTAGGGGATGTGGTGGCTCAGTGGCTAAGACGCTGAGCTTGTCTATCAGAAAGGTTGGCAGTTCGGTGGTTTGAATCTCTAGCGCTACGTAACGGAGTGAGCTTCCACTACTTGTCCCAGCTTCTGCCAACCTAGCAGTACGAAAGCACATAGAAATGCAAGTAGAAAAATAGGAACCACTTTGGTGGGAAGGTAACAGCATTTCGTGCGCCTTCGGCATTTAGTCATGCCAGCCACATCACCATGGAGATGTCTTTGGACAGCACTGGCTCTTCAGCTTTGAAACGGAGATGAGCACCACCTCCTAGAGTCTGGAACGACTAGCACATATGTGCGAGGGGAACCTTTACTATTTTATTAGAATTGGCATCAGTATACCTACTGTGTAATTTTCAGCTCTTTGAGCTCAGATTTCTGAGTAGGCATGCATAGGATTCTGTTATTAATGGTGGAAGGTTATTATAAGCAAGAATGCTTTAAAAGTGTTTTTTCAAAAAGTCCTAAAAATAATAAAAAAAAGAGCAACTTCTAAATGTTTTATTATTATGGGAAGTCTAATAAATGAAAATAACTAAATTACCAATAGTATTCTAATAGATGGGGCTCAATTAATTACTTTAAATACATGGATGAAATATTTAGAATATTGTAGACTTGTAGGCAAATTATAAATTGCATCTCCAAAATGCTACCTGTCAAATCAAGAAATATAGAATCAGGTTAGTTAATTTATATAATTATAAGAGATAATTTTTGCATAATGCTGAGCAATTAAATGTGAGGAAGATTACTCTAATTTTCCCAGAGATACTCATTGGTTATATCTCCTATGTTGAAAGAAATATTGACTCTTGTTTCCACCTTTACAAAAAAAAATTGTGTATTTTGCAACATAGCAAGGTTGAGAAACCTGGCAATAGGAGTGGTATATTTGCTGATGATTTCAAGAGGCATAATACTAATATGCTAATATGACATAATTCTAAGGAACTCTGGAGGCTATGAAAATAAGGCTTGGGTTTCTTACAACCTATCCATGGCTAGTTGTCCAGAAAGAGAGATGTCAAGAAATATATGATTCATGTAGGGAAGTTACAAAATTGAGAGAAAAAGTTTTTCTGTGGGTATCACAAGATATAAAAATCCCTCATATTTCTAAATGCAACAGCCCCTTGGCAATTTTGAAACAATCCTACAAAGGTAATTATACTTATTAGGTTTAGTGAAGTAAAATAGGTGAAAGTCAAATAATATTAATCACTGTCATATTAATTCCTGTTTTTAAAGTATTTATGTATGTCTGACAGTGTTAGAAGGATGTATAACAAATACTAGGCTATTGTATGTATTTTTAGCACTATAGCACAAGAAATAGCACTTAGACTTATATACTGCTTCACAGTGCTTTACAGCCCTCTCTAAGCGGTTTACAGAGTCAGCATATTTCCCCCAACAATCTGAGTCCTCATTTTACTTACCTGAAAAGGATGAAAGGCTGAGTCAACCTTGAGCCGGTGAGAATCGAACTGCTAGCAGTTAGCAGAATTAGCCTGCAATACTGCATTCTAACCATTGCACCACCATGGCTCTTTACCTTGCTGCTGTCTGGACTTGGTTGTTTATTTACCAGCATTTCCTTACCCGTAAAGGTAACTTCATCAATGTTAGGGAGTATGTGTTTTACTCCCTGTGTAGTTTGCCCTGCCATTGTTGGTGAGGCTATGATGGTGAGGTTTCTCTTTGGTATTTTCAGTATTATTTGCAAAGAGACTGTGACTTGAATTTGGAAGAGTAGCTCTAAATCTTCTATAGAGAAAACAACCAAGTGTCTTGTGGTTTTTTTAAACTGTAGAGAGCCATAAAACATTTCATGGTTTTGTCTTGAAATAAAAACCGAATTAGGACAGAGGTGAGAGGAAAGTTTTTTCTTTAGCAACAGTCTTCACTAACCGTGTGAGCTAGGCTGTCTTTTTTTACCAATGTTGTGGACCTTAAAATTACCCAGTGAGGGGTTCTATAGTATTAGCTGCAATTGAAAAAGCTGTCCCATAGGTACTCTTTGTGTATCAGTGATGTGCAGTCAGAGGAGGCAGGGCCTCACCACTGTCATCTTGAAAAGAAAAGAAAATTAAAAGGAAAAAGGCTGAGGTAGTTGCTGCCAGAGTCACAGTGGATGACTCTGCTTAGTGCTTAACTGTTTAAAAAGCCTCTTTAAAAAGTGCCCTCTGCAGGAGGAGGCGAGAGAACCACGTGCCTCATTTAGTCTATGATCACTTGGGCAGAGTTAAGCAAGGGTTAAAAGGCGAAAAATTCCTTACGTAGATGAGGCACGTGGTTCTCTCACCTCCTCCTTTAGAGGACACCTTTTTTAGAGGCTTTTTTTAAACAGTTAAGCAGAGTCATCAATTGGAGGCTCTGGCAGCTAATCCAGCCTGACTAGCAGCTCTTGCCTTTTTCTTTTTACATTTTTTACATTGTCATCATGCAGACAAGAGGAGAGTTGAAATCCTCTGTGAAACAGCTGGAAAAGGTATGTGGGTCAGAGGGAGGGGGGAGGAATTCAAAATTATTGTAATTTGTAATTGTAATTTGTATTATTGTAAGTAATTTGTGTGTGTGTGTGTGTGTTTTAACCTGCCTCTGCTGGTGCGCAAGCTGGCACTTTATTTTTTATTTTTTTAAAGCCCTGCCGCCGTGTTCGCCATAGACCTCTATGGCGGACACAGCGACGGGGCTTTCGGAAAGCCACACCGGGGCTTTGGCGGGGCTTTCAGAAAGCCACGCCAAAGCCCCGGCGCTGGCAAACGTAGGGTGGTTTTTGCCCACTTGCCTCACCAGCCATGAACCTCACTGCACATCACTGTTGTGTATGTATTTGT